CGTCGCACCCTACACTCGCACCCGCACACGTACCATCGCACCCTACAATCGCACCCGCACCCGTACCGTCGCACCCATGCGCCGCACCTTGAAAACTAGGTCATCCGTACCTTGACGTGAGGACCATATAGAGAACCTGTTTTCATTGCTTTCAAATTTAGCTAACCCGCATTGATCGCTTTTTCACCCAGCAGCCCTGGCAGCTCTGGAAGCCATCGCCCAAGGTCAGATCCTGAAGTCCACCTGATTTCCGGTCGCAGCCGGCGCAGCAGATACGCGCGCGAGTCGTACCACATGTCTCTTATGCATCCGCAATGCAGATTGAGGTGCGAGTCGTCCGCGCTAAGAATGTACTCGGTGAGTGTTCGTTTTTGCCGTCTGGGATCAACGGAAAGTCGCAAACCGGGTGAACATCATCACTTCAACGGGCGGGTCACTCCAGGTATTTGGGGCTCAACAAGCGAAGCTCAATCTCTAAGCATTAGAGATGTTCTGTGGATTTCCAGGGTCAATCCGATAGGGGCTCCCGGCTATAGACGAATCAATCCCCTTACTAGGTCAGTTGGACCTCTGTATGGAAGTTGATCAGTGAACGTTGCACCGTTCTTCCGGCTTCCAGGACTAGGTTTTCAAGCCCTAAGAAATCCTAAAAAAGGGAAGGCCTAGCAAGCCTAAACAATCCCTGGAGAAGTGCAGACATCAACCAAACCCTAATAAAGACGTAAAACCACCAAACCAAACAAAAAGACACCAAACCAAGCCGAGAAACCCCCCCAACCAAGCCCAAGCCCAAACAAATCCCAGCAGAAGTGAAACCCTAAATTTAAGGGTCAAACCGTCAAACCCGTCAAACCCTGAAGGAATCCCACAAGACCTAAAGGAAGGACATGGAAGGACCCCCAAAATACCAAGAAATCACACAACACAGCCCTAGTAGAACCCCAACAAAAGAGGTGTAGCCCTCACCCAACCCCAAACCAACCTTCAAAAAGGGGCTAGCCTAAGCCCAAAGAAACCCTTAAAAAAACAAATGCCTAACTAATGGGAACGAACCCTGAAGCAATGACGCCCAAGCACGAAGCCCAAGCAAGGCTTCAAGAAGTGGAACCCTAAACCAGGCCCTAAAGAAAAGCAAAGCCTCAAGCAGTGCAGCCCTAAAGCAGGCCCTAAAGAAATGAAACCTGAAACCAAACCAACATAAATAGACCCCGGAAGAAGTGAAACCTTAAACAATGCCAAAAAACCTAGAGAAGTGAAGCCTTAAACAAATCGCAAAGATACTCTAACGGAGGGAAACCCAAAACCAAACCCAGGCCATCCTACAGAAGTGAAGCCCCAAACTGAGGCCCGAGAAACCCCTAGAAAAGTGAAACCGTACGGGAAACCCACCCAAAACACTCCGGATGTGAAGCCTGAAAGCAAGCCCGCAGCAAACCTAAAGAAGTGAAGCGTTAAAGCGCGCTCAAAAAGTTCCAAAGAAGTGCCGCCCTAAACCAAGCCCAAAGAAATCCTAAAGAAACAACGCAGATACCAAACCAAAAGCAACCCTAAAGAAGTGAAACCCCAAACCAGGCCCAAGCAAACAAACCCTTAAGAAGTGAAACCCTAAACCAAGACCAAACAAACCGTAAAGAAACGAATCAATCCCAAAGAAACCTGCCAGGAGGGAAACAAACATACTACAGAATTGACGCCCCAAACCAGCCCCACAGAAACCCTGAAGAAGTGCAGCCCTAAACCAGGCCCGAACAAGCCCTACAGAAGTGGAACCCTTAAAAGTCCTTCAGAAGTGAAACCCTACCAAACCCAAGCAGCCCCTAAAGAAGTGCAACGCTTTGCCAGACCCTACGAAAGCGTTGAGAAGTGAAGCCCCACTGTTGACAAAAGGCTTGCTGTTTTCAAGAACTCTGGGTGAAGTGATTTTTTTGCAATGGTTCAACAAAGGTTTTTGCGCAAAAAAATCTTTTTTGGCCGAGACTGAACTCTCCTTCCAAAAAACACTACACCCTACGAACTCTTCACCGCAGCACCTAAAAAAAGTTAAAACCCTTAAATCTACGTTTATCTTCTGCCTTGAAGCCTTAGAGCTTCGGCTCTAACCAAATTGATTTGCTCAATGCCCGAAGGTCCGCCGAGTTGAAAATCTGGGCGTACAGCCCTTCGCTTAAACCAACATATTTTGGAGCAACGCTTGCCTTGTAGCATCAACGCGCCAACGCAACAAGCGTAGCAGATCTAACGGTGCAATGTTTAGCACACAGCCAAGGAAAGCACGTTCTATTGCTTGCAGGGGAGAAATGCGCAATGTCACTGACTTCCTGGGTATGGACCCCGCTCAGAGTTAGCTTCGCCAACATCTGGTCAACCCGATGCAGTTGAGACTGCAAAGAGCACAGTGACGGATACACGCCGGCTGGTGGGACCTGCCAACAGCTTAGACAGCAGAGTACCCAAAAGTCAAAGTTTATACAAAGCACCTTGGGTCGCGTCATTGAGCGGCTGCCCCGCAGCGTTGACTTGGTAGAATCCAATCAGACAACTGAGCAGGTAAGCAAGCATTCAATTTCTTCACTGCGTGGCTCACATTTCAATTCCTCAACCATGCCATACTTTCACCGGCTAACAAGTGTGGCGCGACGAAGCGCTGATGACACATTGCGGTCACGAAGCGCTCGCACGCCATTCCATACAGGCGATCCAAAGAAACGAGAAGCATTACTTGAAGCATCTTGAAACGTTGAGAATACTTGCCGATATCGAAACGAAAGCAGGCAGCGTTTGTGTTTGTAAACCTTCAGTCAAGAACCCGCAAAATGAACATGTATATTCGTTGGTGTTTAACGGTCCAATTAAGGACCCAGGTGAGGAAAATGTGCTCGCTTACATTTGCAAACGTTCAATTAAGAACCCACACGAGGGCACTGTATACTAGGAACCCACAAAATCCAAATGTGTTCGTTTGTACTTGCAAACCGCTGCAAACCTTCAATTAACAACCATGCATAAGGAAACTGTATTCGTTTGCATGTGCAAACTTTCAATTAAGAACCCACATAAAGAATGTATTTGTATTTGCGATTATTTGCGAACTTCATTTAACAACTCGCAGAAGGAACATGTGTTGGTTTGTAATTGACAACCTTCAAACACATACGGACATTGTATTCAAATAGGCACCCACAAAAGGAACATGTATTCGATTGTATATATTCGTTTGTACTGAAAACCTTCAATTACGAAAATTTTCGATTATATATATCAGCAAACCTTCCAATAATTATTCACATACGGAAAATAAATGAAGCGACTAAATTAGGAAAATATGTTCGTTTGTATTTGCCCAAATTCAATTAAGCACCCACATAGAACCATGCATTCGTGGTTTTTGCGACGCCGAACGTGGCGTAGAAGAACTTCCCCAAAGGTCGCCTGCATGTTCATCCGATCCCGATGGACATGTTCCACTGACCCGAATTCAACCACTCCCGGCCTGATCGGCCACTATAATTGATACATAAAAACTACCAGGTCATGTCGAGACTGACACCGGACATCGGTTCTGGGGCTCGGCTCCTGGAAAGACCATCTCCTCCAAGGTCTTGGGGAAGCGGCCAGAGATTCCTGGACGCTCGGCTGCTCGCACGCGACCGGCCGGAGGGCCGCTGCACGTCGCTGCTGCACGTTGCAGGTGTTACCAAGCCATTGGGTCCGCTTGGGTTAGGTGATGTGATGCTGGTCATCGCTAGGATCCATTCCTTTTCATTGCTTGATCCTGACGGTCCCCAAGTATCTTCAAGTGATCTTTAAAGGGCAAGTGACATCTGCGGGTGTTTGTGCTGCTGGAGGAATCAAATATGCCAGCAAATGCCAGCAAATGCTTCCCTCAAATCCTGCATCTTCCGCAGATTCACCAGAATCGATCCACCAAAGTTTCTTCAGATCATCCCTTGTCAAGGCACGCAAACTTTGAAGGCTCATGGGCAGCTTGGTGCCATCGAGTAGGGCCGGACACATTGCTGTCAAGCTCTCCAAGCTCGAGGGAAAGCACCTGGGTACGCATGAGCGGGTAGATTTCCAGAGTGGATGAGCTCAAGAGAAATCCCAACTGGCCTTACTACTAGGAGCAAGAATGCCTTTTGGGGCATCGCTACTAGGAGCAAGGACGCTATTAGGAGCTCCTGGCCTTGCTACTAGGAGCAAGAAGCTACCTATGAGGTCATCGACCTGAAGAAAACCAGCTCAGGATGAAGAAGAAACAGTTGCCCTTGAGGCTGCTGGAAGAGGGGACATGGGCAACGGCAAGCCTACTAGATCCCCCAACAAACATCCCTAGCTGTCCAAAAGACAGCTAAAAAAAGAGATCCGTCATTTCCCCCCAAAAATAATCAAATGATCATGTGGTCACAGAGATGGACTCTAAATCAATATAAAACAATATATATATTTATGAAAAGAAAGGAACACAGTGAATAATGAATCATCCACTTATAGAATCCAAGGGGGTATAACCCCCTGATTCTGTAGCGTTTTTTTCCCATCCGACCTCCAAAGACTACCCGACCAGTGCCCGCCAACGGCGTGGATGCGCGTGAGTATTCGCTCAACGGGCCAATGGGGGAAGGCGGGGATTGGCTGATTCTCTTCAAACAAAGTAGACATAAGGAAACATAGATTACCAGGAGTCACAAAGGGGTGGTGTTTAGTCCCTAATTGAGTGGATAACGGGCACCCCTAACCTCCATTAAGCACCCCTTTGTGAAAAGGATGGTGAAAAGTAGGAGGGCAACGGAGCTCAAAGAATGTCTCCGCCGGAGATGGCGAAGATGAGGGGGAAGTGACTCGATCTCGGGTATCATATAATATATGGGGTACCTGGTTACGTGGATGACCAGCTGTTTGGTGGCTCCAGATATAGATACCAGCTGCTGGAAAAGGGGTTACGAATGGACAACCCTACACTGCCTAGATGGTCATCATTGGACACCCAGCCCCCCATTGGAAGCGCTAGGTATACATTTATTGGATTTTTTTGGGGGTTATCCTCGAGTCGTGAAGTTCGCCTTTCAGATCGCTTCCAGCTTCGTGGGATGGCGCGCTGGTCGTCCAGATGACCCTCTTCCTAAACAAGAGCATCGGACCTAAGAAAAAGGGCGCTGGGAAACAGAAGGGCGGAGGCTCTTCGCCTTCAGGATGTTTAACAGCTCGAAACTCAATCACCATCCCAAACACTCCATGCATGGCACATTTACCCACCTTGGGGGGGCTTCAGGGGTGAAAAGTAGATACAACATGTAAAATCTGCGAGTCCCATCACTCATGTCTGAGCAGTTTTCACCTGTCCCACGTCCCATACGTCTCTCGCCCACCCCAAACAGAATCACCTGCAGGTCTGTTATGGTCTGCAGCTCTTCTTCAGTTCTCCCAGGCACAGCTGCTGGACACCTTTCGTGCAGCCACCCAGGTCCAAGCTCCTTGAGAGCCCCCGAGGACGGGCCAGAGCCAGGCTGTTTGGCTGTTTCGCTGGGTATCCAAGGAACGGAGGAAGGATGGCGAAGGAGGGGTGCGAGCTAATTAGACTCGAACATCCACTCGTCATGACCAGTAAACCACTCAACTCCACGTACCTCCGTCTCGACGGTGGTCTCTGGTTGATCATGCACCGCAGCACCGCTGCTTACCGCCTGGAGGACGGGGGGGGCTGAATATTCATCCACAGACTCTAACATGTCACTGCACAACATGGAAGATATGGACGTGGATTGGCATGGCCCCTCAAGAAGACCATGAAGCCAAATAGCAGGTTATTTTGAGATGTAAGTCTTGAGAGAAAGATCGATGAACCTCGCATGACGTGTCATGCTTAGGCAGCCCATAACTTTGAGAATCGCCCCTACTCAGGCGATCGATGCAAGAGCAAGTACACCACCCTGAGACTGGTGTGCCGTCGAATAGATTCGACCCTTGAACCCGACCCACCCAGCTGGTTTTGAGGGGTCCAACACGCAGGGGGGGTCGCAAGACTTCTAGTGAATGACTTGCTTGGCCTACATCGAACAAGCCCAGTGTTTGACACATCTGGACATGACCTCGTGCGCTGGGCGCTGCCTGGCACCGATTGGTCTGAAGGTCTGAAGACGCTCCACTCAGATCCGGATTTGGCATGTTTTAACTTCAATTGGATTTGGCATGTACCAAACTTCGGATCCAAAACCCTCGGGCTGTTCCCTACTGCTTGGACTCAGAGTTTTCGGACCAGATGCAACTTATATAACATCGAGTTGAATTGAACTGTCCCATGAAGTGACCCCATGATATCCGATGATCCTTCTGATCTCCAAGACTTCTGCGAAACACTAAAACCATTGGTCGGTATATCCCTAACAAACATCACCCTGTCCTACCGATCTACTGTCCTACCGATCCATCTGCGTGCGGAATGTGCAGATCAATGTACCGTAGCTGCGGCAGGTGGAGGCCCTTGAGGTCTTGATGGAGAGCGGGATTGAGCTTCAAATGCCTCGAATGTGCCGTGCCGGTCAGGTTTTTGGGCGCCAGACTCTCCCAAAGCACTCCAAAGGACTAGAAGAGCCATGCAACATTCCATGGATGTGTCCTTTCTACGCGGGCAAAAGTCTGCAACAGTCTGCAACTATACATGGAGTGTCAGTGCTCTTGGGTCTGAAAAATAGGTGGCCCAAAAACGGCCACGACATGTGCTCAGTGGGGTGGGGTGTCCCCAATCCCCAGAAAGGTCTTTGCAGGTGATCCACTGTTCCAGGGTAGGTTTTGCTTGAATCCGCCACGGAAGATCATAAGATCATCTCCCATTTTCCCCAAGAACAGAGGGGGCATCACCACCTCGGTACTGCACTGCGCACAAACCAGGCACGCAACTCCGTCCTAGCGACAAGGAGATCGAAAACCGAGAATTCCAATTGAAAACCAGCAAGGACGCATTCTGGAATATATCCACAAAAAGGGTGTATGGACTTGAATCAGTCGCCCGACTCAGCCAAATGCTCAAAGTACTTCTCTAGCGCCAAGCCTCATATTAGACCAACTTCTCTTCCAAAACATTCTGGGGCAACTTTTGATACTTTGAGTGGACAAGCAAGGAAACCACCTTCCCTCCAACACCCCATTCGGAAAATGAAGATCCTCTTCCAAAGCATGCCATCCATGATGATCCGGGAAACGATCTTTGGAGTGTCACCCCCTGAATTTGCCATGCAACATCAATTTTCGCTTCACCAAACTTTCTGCGGGTTCCTTTTGAGTGGGGTGTCCCTAAGAGTGCACAGCCCTTCAGGTGTCATGCCACCAAAAGTAGTCTGATTTCGCGGCTCAGTCGGGCTCAGTGGCATGGGTATGCTCAAAAACTATCCCCCAACATGTTCCTTCCCCAAACCAGAACATGGATCCACTTCTTCGGGGCTTGGACGCTGAAACCATCCTAAAGCATCCTAAACCTGCTGATGCCGATCGCCTCCCAGTGTCCCCTGGTCGGCCTGGTCGGCCCACGGGACCCCGGTGGGCGAAGGACCCCGGTCGGCGAAGAACCCGCTGAGCAACATATCTCCCCAAGCGCCTGGAAATGGAGGTCTTCGCGCTCTTTTGGAAGCTTGGCACACATTTCGGGATGCAGACCAACATTTCCAACACCTGCCACTTGGCCGAAACAACCTGCCCAGGCACTGCAACGTCTCGGGCAGCCGCACCGTGGCCAAGCGATAGCCCGAGGGCGCAACGTCCAAGGTCTGTAGCTGGGGCGGGAACCAGGGAGTGCGGCTCTTGAAGCCAGGACCCAAGGTGAGCTTCTGTAAACCTCAGCGGCGCTGTGTGCGCGTGGTGGTTGCGCGCACCCTGTACACGTACGCGTACACGTTTAGCGCGGCGCTTGAAGGTCCGAAGCCAAAATATAGACAGTACATGTTTGAGAGGCCTTCAACAAGCGTAGACCTCTTTTTGGGAGAGGGAACTGCGAACTTGGGTTGAAGAGGTTGCCGGCCAAATCTCTCTGGTTGATCTGGTGACCAAGACGCTGGATGTGAACGACGAAGCCCTTCGCTCGAAGTACAAAGCTTTTCAATCCAAGAGGATCTGACAGACTTACACTTCCTGAATCATCAAAGTGGATGGCATGGCCTTGAGTCCCGATGACCATGTTCTCTACAAACAGGTGGGGTGGCCCTCCACTTCCATGATCTTCGAGGGAGTGTACACAGTGTAAACCTTGGATGTGGCACGAAAGTGATACAACATTCCCCTGAAATTGAGAATCTCTTCCATCAACAGCAGTGACTCAGTTCAGTCCAACTATGGAGTCTCCATGTAAAATCCTGAATTCAGGTCTCTCGTATATTTCTGAGTCGCTTTAATTAATATTAGTACAATATGGTCTGATGGTAATGTGTCCAACAAACAATGATTCCAGGCAAAAACCACACACAATCCATCAATCCCACATGATGCTATGTTTCGGTGAAGTACCATTGGAACTCTAACACCCGCCGCCAACCCCATAAGGGTCTGAAGAAAAGAGGTGAAATCCTCCATTGAACATCCAGAATCAAAACATCTTACTATACGTACCTTTTTCATCAATTTCTAGGGGGATGAGGGCCCATGAGGGCTGTCCTTTCCACGAACGACCATCTTCCTCCTAGCCTCTCTAGACACCGAAACGACCCGAACGAACGTGAGAGACGGAGACGGAAGCCACGCGAACTTCGTCGGACGGACCCACGGTGTCCGTTTCACCTCTGCCAAGTCTCTCTCAGGCCAGTTCACCTGGCGAGTCGGAGGTCGCGTGGTCCAACCGCTTCGTGCTTCGTTTTCACTTAACGTTCGAACATCAGGACGTCGGACGTGGACTGGCAGTCCTGACTCCCAATCAGGCAGGGGTGGGGCATGAGAGGCATAGATTCCGTGTCTGGGACATGTTCCATACATGGATGGTCTGGGTGATATGTCACGTAGACCGGTTGTGGGTCATGGCACCCTCTCTTTGTACCCTCCGAACATGAAGAGACTAGACTAGGAGATATGGTCAACATACCGGGATTGCGGGTTCCGAATTTTGATCCACATGTAGAAATCAGTTTGAATCACCCTTATAAACATGATGAGCTTAAGTGAACACCCTTCTCTGAATGTGTTTAAACACACCCTTCATGTAAGGGTGTTTAAACAAGCATTAAATGTTTTTTTTCACACACCATTTAAACACCCTGCTTTGGATCTTCATCTATCATCTAGATTGACACAGGCAGTGAAAACCACAGTGGCTCAGGCTGGTCGAACCAAACACCGATCCTCTCTGTACGTACCACCGAAACACGTGGGTGTTCGCCAATCCCTTGGTGAGAGTTTGATGCGTGTACCGGATCTTTGACCTCTTCTTGGTTAATCCTGAATCCTCCCAACCCCGACCCCCAGTGGAGGATCCGACCCCCAACTGCCAAGTCTACGAAAAACCCAACTGGGCAACGAATCAATCTCTTAATTTAGTTGAACTTGGAACCATTCACCACCCATCCGTGGAAAGTGTGGGCATCTGGACCAGTCTGCAAAACTGTGATCAATGGGTGCCAAACTTCAATTCACAGTTTTGCTTGACTGTGATAAATGTGCAGTTGGGTGCCAAACTTCAATGATCAGTCTGCAATTGACCAGTCTGCACTTTGGTGTGAAATCCAAGCTTCAAAGAGTTGGAACTACACGCGACGTGCTGGGGAGAACACCAGTTCTCACCGCTCTGGCGGTCAAACGCAAAACACAGGACCTTCGGTGGTTGGTCCAACGTCCCGTTTTTGAAGAGCTATTAATCTGGGAAAGGCTGTAGGTTCTTCTAGAAGACTCAAGATCTTTATACCAGCAGTTCCATGTCGTTGGGTGCTATCCATGGAGGAAGTTGGGTGCCCCTGCCACGTCCACCTGCTATCCAAGGACTGTTGGGATCACCGGTGTGACTCCCGAGCCGTTTCCCTGGACGGATGGGGTGCGCTTCAGCAGTTCGTTGGGCACCTGTTCGTTTTGATGGAAAGCAATTTCCGAAACAACATGTGAAAGGGTAATAGGTTTCCATCAAAACGAACAGGATGATCTACCCAATCTATCTACCCGTGATGATCTACCCAATCTATCCACTTCTCTTGGGTAGATAGATTGGATAGATCATCACGGAAAACGACCCAACCCACCGGCCAAACGTTCCACAGTTGGTCGTCCAAATGTAGAAACATGAGGAACAATGAACCCTCTCAAAACATACCAAAACCACCATGTCCCCAAACACAAATGCAAATAGGCCAGGTTCAGCGTGAATATCAAGCACACATCTTTGGCCTATTTTGAAAAAGACCATCACCCAGAAACTCCAAAGAAACCGAGGGTTTCTTGATGAACTGCTCCTCTACTGCAGAGCAGACTATCAAGGAGATGAGAAACACCGTCCTGGACCGACAGTCGAACCGTTCACCATCCTGGCCTTCCAAACTCCGGTGTTGGGGCCGGTCAGTCTCTTGGGGCCGGGAAACCCCGGCGGCGGATTGAAGAGACTTCTTCAATTGCCCCGAAGTGGTGCAGAAGTGATAGTTGTAGTAAGTAGCATGGGTGGGTTTGACCAATTCCTCAAAGAGTCCCAACCTCAAATCCGAACCCGTACATGTTCGGCCTCTGCCACCTTCTCTTTAAAGGTCCCGCAGAAGGTGAAGCTCTCGAGCTCCGGAAACTTCCTCACTTCGGCGGCGTTTTCAGGGCCGAAAGAGGCCCGCCCAACATGGATCCTCCCGAACACTTCCATGGAGCCAGCTTGTCCGGAAGATGGTCCTGTTGCCGGAAGAGGGGTGTTCCCATAATTGTCCGACGACCGATGCGTGCGTTTTTGCCGTCCTCCACAGCCGCTTGGCCGGACAGCTGGGGCGGTCTTGGGCGCGACGCCACGGGTCTTGTATTTGTCGAGGCCATTCGCTGACTTTTGGTAGTGGACCGCGGGCTCGTTGAGGTATGTCTTGCAGGGGCTCGACATCTGCTGGATCGTCAGTGGCACTTCAGCTGACTCGATGTTGTCGTCAATCACAGTGAGCCCTCTGAGAGACATGCCCTGCTCGAGCATCCCAACTGCGATCATGGTCATCAAGTTACTCACACTCACTGCCTCATGATGCGGGAACTCCATTTCCGATCTTGGCCTTGATGAGTGGGTAATTGTTTGAAAGAACTCATTTCGGCAGCAGGACTGACACTTAAGAGAAACAGCTGTGGTAGCAGGCAAAGGATATTAGGAGAAGTAGGGTGCTGGGCAATATAAAATTCAGCGTGGCCGACCTTTAAAAAATCGCTGTTGTCGTGGCACTGGAGGTAGTTTGGGGGAAAGGCCAGTGTTTGGATGTTTCAGTGTGTGGTTGCTTGTGTCTTGACCGTTTTGATTTTTGTTCCTCTGAATTTTGGTGGTCTTTGTTGGGGTTGGCTTGCAACTCTGGAGCTCAAGAACAGCTTCATCATGGCATATCATTGTTTTTTCGGGTGGGAAGATCTCAACCATCAGTTGCAAAAGTTCTGAAAGTAGAAAAGGAGAAGAAAACGTTTTGTTGATCTCTTCTTTTGAATTACCCAAATGCGACCCTGGACCCTTCTAAGTAGGCAAAGCCAAGCCGGCATGGAGGGGTCTAGGGGTTCTCATCAA